TCTGGTTTCCTACAACCGGGGACCCTGCAGTCTGGTTCCTACAACCGGGGACCCTACAGTCTGGTTCCTACAACCGGGGACCCTACAGTCTGGTTCCTACAACCGGGGACCCTACAGTCTGGTTCCCACAACCGGGGACCCTACGGTCTGGTTCCTATAACCGGGGACCCTATAGTCTGGTTCCTACAACCAGGGACCCTACAGTCTGGTTCCTACAACTGGGGACCCTACAGTCCAATTCTTACTACCGGGGACCCTACAGTCTGGTTCCTACACTGGGGACCCTGCATTCTAGTTCCTACAACTGGGGACCCTACGGTCTGGTTCTTACAGCTGGGGACCATACATTCTAGTTCCTACAATTAGAGACCCACAGTATAGTTCCTACAACTGGGGAAACCCTATGGTCTGGTTCAGTTGGTGACACAACAGTTTGGTTCCTCCAACAGGAGACCCAACAATCTGGTTCCTACAACCAGAGACCCAACAATCCGTTTCCTACAGCTGGGGACCCTTTAATCTGGTTCCTATAGCCATGTACCCTACGATCTAGTTCCTACAACCGGGGATCCTAAGGTTTGGTACCTACTGCAGGGGACCGTATGATCTGGTTCCTACAACCGTGGACCCCAGAGTGTGGTTCCTACAACCCTACAGTCAGCGTACCACAGCTGGGACCCTACGGTCTGCTTCCTATAGCTGGGGACCCTACAGCTGGGACTCTATAGTCTGGTTCGTACAGTTGGGGACCCCACAGTCTGCGTCCTATAGCTGACAACCCTACATTCTGGTTCCTACTGCTGGGGGCCCTACAGTCTGGGTCTTATAGCTGGGGACCCTAAGGTCTGCTTCTTAAAGCTGGGGACCCTAAGGTCTGCGTCTTACAGCTTGGTACCCTACAGTGTGGTTCCTGCAGCTGGGGACCTGGAAGTAGATGTCATGGGGTCCAGGTGTGGTCACCTCATAGACCAGTTCTGTGGGAATGTCAGGCAAGTCTTTGAACCTCAGTGTCAGAACTTGTTTATAAACCAGCTGCTGGAGCTTGAACTGGATTTGTTCCATGTCCCTTTCCAAGAAACGGACTTGGTTCCACTCTGGTCTCACTCCTGGTCTTTGGACCCCCCTTTGTCCTCTGTCCCCTCCAGTCTCTAGCTGTCTCCCCCTGGTATCTAGCTGTCTCCCCCTGGTCTCTAGCTTTCTCGCCCTGGTCTCTAGCCGTCTCCCGCTGGTCTCTAGCTGTCTCCCCCTGGTCTCTAGCCGTCTCCCGCTGGTCTCTAGCTGTCTCCCGCTGGTCTCTAGCTGTCTCCCCCTGGTCTCTAGCTGTCTCCCCCTGGTCTCTAGCTTTCTCGCCCTGGTCTCTAGCTGTATTGCCCTGGAACATGAAAGGGAGTGTGCCTTTCTCGTTAATCCAGACCTTCATTGCTAGCATGTTTAATTAGAACTACAGGTAGCTGGAATTCTTACATGATTCCAGATATTGCAATGGATGTAATGAAACAATCTACGAAGTTGATCCGCAGTTCAGGGAGCGAGAGAAAATTGACGCTCATTTATTCAAATCAGGGGGAGATGAGTTTATTTCCCGAAATTGTACAGTCATGCTTTTTCATTAAACGGATGTTTTCTCCATTAGATTTAGATGACTGTGAGGAGACGGGTAGCCTGGCTGGATCAGCTGGCAGCTCCCGTTCACTGCCTTCTGTTTTCGATCGAGGCAGGCAGAAATAGAATGTCCCAGGATTCACAGAATTGATAAGAGAATTGATAAGAGAATCGCATCATTTCACAGAATCGATAATGGAATCGGAATCGTGAAAATCTTATCAATTCCTAACCCTACCCATGTCCATCCTCTGTTGTGTCAGTTCTTGATCTATGTGGTGTTTCTTCTCAGATGGCGAATGTGGCCTACCTTCAGGGTCATCTGGACAGTGTGAGTATTATCCACTCACAGCTCAGAACCATCTTATTTGTGGTCATGTGACCCAAAGGGAGAGGGGTGGGGGGTGGGGAGTCTGTGATGCTTTATGATATCCCGTCTTCCCTTCAGGCAGAGAAGCTCTTCAAAGCAGCCATGAGCTTCATGCTTGCAGGAGGAACTCCAGAGGTGAGTCTGTCCACCACAACTGTCCATGCGCCCCAGGTGGAGCTGATCTCCAGGACACTCTTCCTGTCTGTTTCCAGGATGACAACGCTGTTATTGAGATGTCTCTGAAGCTGGCCACCATCTATGCTGAGCAGAACAAGTAACCATTTGATGCACTTTGTGGTTTGAGAAGCTGTGTGTCAGTACGGGTCAGTTCCCCGTTCAGTTTCTGGTTCTATAGGAAGGAGTCGGTCTTTAGCTAACCTCCTGGTCCATGATGAAGCAGTGGCTACAGCTGCCTCCCCTACAGAGCCTGAAGGTCCTGGCAGGTCCAGAACCCTTCGGCACTGTAGTTCCTTCAAGCTTTAGCAGAACATGATTCCCTAGAACCTGAGGACAACCAGAACCCAGGGAGGGGAACAAAGTAAAGACCTGATTCTGGTCTTGAGAGGCTGAAATGGAACCACTGGGTACCGAGCCACCCCTAATACTCGGCTCATGCTGTTATGGTTCCTCTTTAGTCTTATCAGTTGGAACTGGACCAAAGCTTAAAGATTGTTCAGATCAAGCCTTGGGCCCACAGGCCCCTGAATGCCCCCTGCTACAACGGCCCCTGGTTAGACAGTAGATGTTCAGTAAGTCCAGTGATCCCTCGACCCAGAGGTCAAAGGTCACTGCCTTCTCTGTGTTGTTCAGGGCGGAACTGGCAGAACACGGCTTCAGGTTCTGTGTGGAGTCCCTGGAGGCCAAACTGGAGAAACACAAGGAGCAGATGGAGGACGAGAGGACAGGTGAGAAAGCTGGGACAGGGATGGGGGGACAGGGACTGATACGTACCCACCTATCTGTATTTGCTGGCAGAGGAGCAGGAAGTTCTGAGGAAAGACACCCACCTCCTGCTTGGCCTGTGTTTGGACTCGCGTGCCCGGTACCGAGCCTCGCTGCTGCAACTGGACCGGGCCAGACAGGACTACAGAAAGGCCCTGGACATCTGCAGGACAGAACAGGGAGACACCCATCCACAGGTACACCTGTCCCCTGGTAGACATCTTCACAGGTAGACATGTCCACGGGTGGTCATGTCCACAGGTAGACATGTCCACGGGTAGTCATGTCCACAGGTAGATGCCCACCCATAGATATGTCAGCAGGTAGATATGTCCAAGGGTACACATGTCCATGGCCACAGGTAGACATGTCCACGTCCACAGGTAGACATGTCCGCAGGTAGATATGTCAGGGGGAAGATATGTCCGTAGGTAGACATGTCCCCGGGTCGACATGTTCATGGGTAGACATGTCCACGGGTATACATGTCAGCGGGTAGACGTGTCCACAGGTAGACATGTCGACATCCACAGGTAGACATGTCCATGTCAACAGGTAGACATGTCAGCGGGTAGATATGTCCACAGGTAGACATGTCAGCGGGTAGATACTGTATGTCCACAGTTAGACATGTCCACGTCCACAGGTAGACATGTCAGCGGCTAGACATGTCCATGGGTAGACATGTCAGCAAGTAGACATGTTCATGTCCACAGGTAGACATGTCAGCAGGTAGACATGTCCATGTCCACAGGTAGACATGTCAGCAGGTAGACATGTCCATGTCCA